GCAAGTGCAGCCGGGCTGATGGCCGAGTGCTGTGATGTGCCCAGTGTGGGCACTCAGGGCAATCCAAGCCAGGACTGCTTTGCAAGCAGGGCACCCCTGAGAACTGTCTGTCCGGGGCGAGGGGTCGGGACCCTTTAAGCACAGCCCTCGGCTAGCCTGAGGCAGCAGCTCCACGCTCTAAGTCCTCATCTGATGCCCTGCCGGTACTGCTTCCGGCCATCCTTAACCCCGGTTCAGGGTCCACTTAATGTGGACATGCTAGTTTGAATTAGCAAAATGCTAATTCGAACTAGTTTTTTAGTCTGGATCCGTTAGTTCGAATTAGCTTAGTTCGAATTAACTAATTCGAACTAAGTTAGTTCGAATTAGCGCTGTAGTGTAGACGTACCCTAAGAGTCTTGTCTATCTGTTAAAGGCTGCGAGTCCCAGTTGGTTTAAGAGCAGTAACCCCTCCTTCAGAAAGGCACGCTCCCATTCTAGGAGGATAAAAATATTCAGGCTGTGAGGAAAAGACAGCTTCCTAGCATCTCGGCACGTTATCAACTACAGCGTGTCCAGGCGATGAAGTGCAGTGTAGCTGCACAGAATAATGTTCTGTGGATGCAGTGTATCGTGTTGTGAAAGTCACAGTACTAAGTGCCAGGCTGGATAGACCCTGGATCACCCCGTGCGCACCACCCAAAGGCAGTTTGCACAATCAGGATATTTCTGGGAACTCGTTTTTGCTTCCAAATCATCACTGTGGCCACCCATTGATCAGCCGCTGTTGTTACGTGGTGTCGTTTGCCAGGCATCTCCAGAGGGATTGTGTAACAGTCCTTGTGTTACACACCCTCACAGTGTAGGAACAGGAAAAACACATGCTATAATCATACTATAGAAAAGCTTTGTGTGGCAGATGATGGTTCAGCTAACGCAATGGTGTGATGCTGGCCTGCTGGTGCTTCTTCTACTACAGTATATTTCAATATTATTATTATCTAACATTTAAAAATTCATCTACCTAAGTATTTCTCAAGCACTTCCCTTTCTAGTACTTAGGTGCCTTATCTATAAATAGGAAGCATTGGTCCTGCTGCTGAGGGATCATAATTCTCTCTCCTACTTGGGTCTGTCTTTACTGCCGGGTTAACGATTAACCCCTCCTCCCATCTGCAGACCACATTCTGTTGCCCTAGTTCAGTGCTGCTTTCAGCCTATCCTCATCTGCCCCCTTTGCAGTGTGGAGTCAGGCTCTAGGGCTGTGTCTACACTGGCATGAATTTCCGGAACTGCTTAAAACGGAATACTATTCTGTTTTCAGTTTTTCCGGAAAAGGAGCGTCTACATTGGCAGGCTGCTTTTCCGGAAAAGCGTCTGTGGCCAATGTAGACGCGCTTTTCCGGAAAAGAGCCCCGATCGCCATTTTCGCGATCGGGGCTTTTTTCTGGAAAAGACGACTGGGCTGTCTACACTGGCCCTTTTCCGGAACAGTGTTCCGGAATAAGGACTTATGCCCGAGCGGAAGCAGAATAGTTTTTCCGGAATAGCAGCTGATTTTGTACAGTAGAGCATTGTTGCTTTTCTGGAAAGTCAAGGGCCAGTATAGACAGCTCGCAGCTTATTCTGGAAAAGCGGCTGATTTTCCGGAATAAGTGGCCCAGTGTAGACACAGCCTAAGACTGCAGTGCTGATAGTCCCGCAAGCCTTCCCATGGGGGACTAGAGGGACAGACAAGTTCTCCCACTGGGGGGCTACGTCTACACTGCGGGTTTTTTGTGGAAGAGGACGTGAAGATGGAGTGCTCATCTGCATATCTCGTGCTCTCATTTGCATATCTTCTTCCAATCCTTTTTGCAGAAGAGGTTTTTGCGATAAAAAGCCCCGTAAACCTCATTTTTTTGAGGAATAAGGGATCTTGTGCAAAAGGGTTTTTTTTCCTGACAACTGGCCCCGTCTACACACGGCTTTTTATCACAAAAACATCTTCCGCGAAAAGAATCGGAAGAAGATATGCAAATGAGAGCATGCAATATGGAAATGAGTACTCCATTTGCATTTCCTCTTCCGCAAAAAACCGGCAGTGTAGACATAGCCAGGAAGAAGCACAGAGCAGCTCTTCTTAGTGCAGCACAAAGAGCCAGAGGATATGATCCCAGACGGTCTAGTGACATCCAGAGGGAAGTGAAGCACCAGTGAGAACACAGGAATTCAGTGCTTTGCCATGCTGCTGCATTGCTCACGTCCTGTCTAGGCCATTTCCTCTTCCGCAAAAAACCGGCAGTGTAGACATAGCCAGGAAGAAGCACAGAGCAGCTCTTCTTAGTGCAGCACAAAGAGCCAGAGGATATGATCCCAGACGGTCTAGTGACATCCAGAGGGAAGTGAAGCACCAGTGAGAACACAGGAATTCAGTGCTTTGCCATGCTGCTGCATTGCTCACGTCCTGTCTAGGCTAGTGCTGATGATTGGACTGTGTGACGATTTTGAAAATTATGAGATAAATGGTCCCTCATCCATGATGTGATTGGTACCATGGAATGGAGGAATGGAAGGATAATGGGAGAGACTGGAAAAAGCAGAAAGGGTCAGATCAGAGAGATAATGTCTAGCAATTATTTCTGGGAAATTCTCTCTTGTTTTCATAAAGCTGCTGAAGTGACTTTTGCTCTATGGGAAAAGAAATGGGGAAACCTGACCGTTTATTCTGACTCTTTGGACACTTTTTAGCAAGGTCAGCTTCCCAAAAAATCGAATTGTTCTTCTGTTTCAGGGTCAAGGAAATAATCAAGGAGCCCTCGGAGTATTTCCTGAGCCGGTTTCCAGAACTGACAGTTTATGTCTACAAGGCCTTACGCAGCATAAATGATTACAGACATTTTCCAAGTCCTCAGAGTCTTTCTCAGCTGTAGCATGTTTTATCACTTCAGGTTGTATGGCTGAATCTCACTGGCTTGCTTTCTTTTCAGCACCATTTTGTTCAGCTGCCAAAAGGTGTCATACATAGTGGGGCAGAGGATATCAGAATTTCACTCAGCACTAAAGTACTCAGCAGTAAAGACGCTGTGTTCGGGGGAGGTAGTGGAGGACAAATTCATTGAGAAAAGGAAGAACCGAGTGCTAGAAGGAAAGTGTAATCTGTTGGAATGAGCAGAGGGTTGAGAATTAGGCAGTCCTAGTTCTAATCATGGCTCTGTCACTGACTCACTATGTGGCATTGGGAAAGTCACCTTCCCTGCCCATTTCTCTTTCTGTAAAATGGGCGTTTGTGAGGGACTACACACCACTATTTATACAGTATTGTACAAAGCAGGCCTTGTGAGGTATCCTTTGAAAACTCCTAACTTGCTGTCAGTAATATCCTGGTAAAAGGTACGTAGCACTGTTGTATGTAAAGTTATAAACATAAGTTGAAATTGTGACTGAACTGCATTTTCCAGATAAGTCTAGGGAGTGGTTAAACCAGTCTCTCAAAGGCAAAGGCCAAGCTGATGTCCCAACCAAATGTCAACAAAGTTGAGGGGCCTTATTGACTGCATAGAGGTCCACTGAATACTTGAGAGAGAGTGTGTGTGTGTCTGTCCATCTGTCTGTGAGTCCATTTGTTTAAGATCTCTTCCTAAACGGTAAGAGTTAGGATCACCAAATTTGGTAGGCAGCTTCCTCTTATCATAACTTAAAGCAAGGTCAGTGTTTAGTTGAGCCAGGACACAAGGATGTGCCTGGAATGTGATTGTTTCTCATAAAACATAAAGAGAGGGGTCTTCTAGGAGGTATAGTTGTACTGTATAATGACCACAAGGGAGCAGAAATGGGAACTGGGACACTTACTATGCTACTGGGGCAGCAGGGGGCTGCAATAGAGAAAGGGACAGATATCTACTATATATTTGAGAGAGTTTGTGTGTATGTCCGTATACCTGTCTTTCCCTCCCCCGGTGCATGTCCCCCAGCTGGAGGACAGACATATACACAGACAGACCTGGTCCAAAGCTACTGCGGTAAGAGAGGGCTGGGGTTGTCTTCTCTCCCCGGGGCAGGCTGCATATTGAACCCATCATCCTCTGCCCCCCCCTTCCAGAATAATGGCTTAAATAAAGAAAAACAGATATTATTTTAGTTGAGGATCCGAACAACACCAGATAAATACTCTAGTAAATTATGTGAGAATAAGCATAGGAAAAAGAATCAGAAATAGTTACAATAAAGTCAAAACGCGTTCTAATGATAAACTTAAACTGTAAAAAATGCTTTACAAAGAGGGACTAAAACGGCAAAAAGGAGGGGCAAACACCCCAAGCGACCCCCACCCCTCTCTCTCTCTCTCTCTGCCTGCCCACATCATTCTCTGCACCCGAGGAGACAAAGGAAACAGCCGTTGGGCTCTGAAAGAGGGGTGCTGTCCTGGAGGTTGATGAGTAATGCTTCTGGACGCATGTGGTGAGTGGCTTGGATCTAAATAGAATTTGTTAATTTTAGCATTAGAAAGTGTTTGGTCTGTGCCTTGTAGCCATTTCTGACTGCATTGCCTTACTCCTCCTGCACCTCACCTCACTGCTACAAAACAGATATGTGTCAGGAAGGTGTGGCTCCATTTTGCATGATCAATGCCTGTGACTACCCAAGTACACCTTTGCCCTCTTACTTGGGGAGTCCTGTACACTGCTTTGCTGCTGTAGCCTGCAGTCTGGACTGCGCACAAACAGCCTCCAGCATGTGAGTTATTCCCAGGTATGTCTACAGCCACACCTTTGTTCTTATCAGCCTGGGGTGCAGTACAAGGACACCCCGGCTTACTCCTTGTCTTAGCTCCCCTCCCCCCATCCAGAAATATATATTGTATACCATACTTCCCAGCCCTCTCATGGACAATACAAGTATGTTGAGTCCATTATTTCTTTAAGATAACAATATGCTAGTTTGTTCTTTCAGATAGCTCATCTGAGATTTCAGTGTAGACACAGTGGGTAATACAAATCAGTAAAAGAAGTGTATTAACTACAGAGAGGTCGCTCTTAAGTGAATGCAGTTCATGAGAGATAAAAGTCAGAGATGATTACTAGAAAAATAAAGCTCAAGTGCAATTAGTGCCTAACTTAACAAGCTGTATTATATTCAAAGCAAGATTTTTTTCTCACCATGCTCTCTCGGTAGTTTTACTGACCAAACTTCTTAGGGCCTCCCAGTTTCATGGCTACTTCCTCTGTCCATTCTGGTGGAGTTAATTGACGGACGGGGCAGGGGGAACAGGTCCCTTGGAGCATTTAATCCTCCTTTTTATTGTGTGAGTCCCCCTGGAGGAAAACATTTCCAGTTGGGATTCAGTTGACAGTGTCTTTATGCAAGGAGATTCCTGGCTGGTTTTCCCACCAGTTTGAACTCCTTCTGTCTCCCTCCTTGTTTGGTGATTCTCTTTACCGCTTATATTAAGGATGTTAAGGGCTAGTCGACTAGTCCATTTCCCTTCCCCCCCGCCCCTTGCTGCGTCTATCAGATAGAGGCAGCAAAGGGAGGGAAGAAGGGGTACTTCAATGCAGCAGCACCACACATCTGAGCTGGGGATCAGCTATGTGGTGCTGCCACTTTGAAACCCAAAGGCGGCCCCACACAGCTGATCCGCGGCTCAGCTGCGTGGCACTGCCCCTTTAAAATGCTGAAGCACCATGGAGTCCGGGGTCAGCTGGGGACTCCCCAGCTGATGCCAGGTTCTGGGGAAATGTTGCACGGAACCCAGGGTCAGCTGAGAAGTCCATAGCTGACCCTGGGCTCCACAGCACTGCCCCTTTGAAATGCCAAGGCTGCGTTGCAAAGGGGCAGCGGCTGCACAGCTGAGCCGGGGTTCAGCTGTGTGACCCCTGCCCCTTTTAATGCTGCTTTGGCATTTCAAAGGGGCAGCCCAGGCTCAGCTGTGCGGTGCTGTCCCCATTGGGGACTCTTGTACATTTCAAAGCAGGCACGCTCCCGTGCAGCCTGGAGTCAGCAGGACTTCCCGCTGGCCCTGGGCTGCATGCAGAAGTCTGCATTCTTCCTTTCAAATGTATAAGAGCCCCTGCTGGGAATGCAGAAGTGCCTATCAACTAGTCGAGTAGTCGATGGAATTTCCATCAACTACTCGACTAGCCAATTAACTGCAATTTCACATCCTTAGCTTACATGCAAATTAAGCAGAGCACACCTACCTCTGCTTGAGACAGACCTGTTTGCCAACCACAGTGTAGACCATGTGTTAATTACGTCGCATAGGCAAATGGTACAACTTCACATACAGCGTTGCTGCACGTATTTTATTGTGATAGTGTTGACCAGCAAATTCTGGGCCTTCAAATGATACCTTACAAGGCCTGCCTTGGACAAAGATTATTACAGTAGTGTGTAGGGTGTAGACAGAGGGGCACATTATATGCCTGTCATTCTGTATCTGTGCTGTGTGTTAGCCGTCAGGGTTGGCCTCCCTTTCACATGAGGGTGAGCAGTCCTTTTGTTCCCATGGGCTCTTCCCGCTTATCTCAGTTATCAAATAGGCTGGCATTACATTTGCTCCATACTTGTTGAGTAAAAGCCTTAAAGACAACTTGCTCTTAAGGGAGTCCTAGCATCTACACTAGCCGTGGCTCTTGAATTTTTCTTTCCCTTAAGAGCAGCTTTCCACCTCTCCTTTGAGATCTGTCTTTATAGTGGGGGTTAAAAACTAACCCCACTGGAAAAGCAAAAGCAGTCCTTAGAGACTAACACATTTATTAGGTCATGAGCTGGCCTGGGTGAAACCCTCTTCATCAGATGAGTTGCAGTGGAAATTTCAGTATCCGGGGTATATATCACAGCAAAAGAAGTTAGCTGTCAATTGTAGGACCAGTTTTAAAGAAGCTAATTAAGTTAGGGGGTGTATCTCATTCAAAGCATTTGATGTGGAGACGTAAATATCAAAAGTGGGGAAGTTGCCTTTGTAGTGCATAACCAACAAAATCTTAAGATCTTCATTTATGCCTAAGTTGATAGTATTGAACTTGTAAACAAACTTCAGTTCAGCTGTCTCCCTTTGTAATTGGGTGATAAAATTCTTTTATAGAAGGATGGCTACTTTTAAATCCATTATTGAATGTCCAGGGAAGTTAAAATGTTCCCCTACAGGTTTATGTGTGTTCCCATTCCTGAAGTTGGACACAGCTATCCCTCTGTAACTAAACTGGGCCTTTCTCTTTTAAATGTGGCAGACCAAAATGCAGGCACCCAAGTAACACCTGGATGAGTGACAAGCCCAGCTATACGTTTGTACACTTGTTTTATAAGCAGCTGTTTTGCTAGAAGTTGTAGAGACATTTACAAAATGATTTTAATGTTGTTAATCTCATACATTTTTATGCTACATCATTATGAGAGTCTCGAACTATTTCTATGTAGAATGGAAACCAAGTAGTAGGTCTTGCAATATGTTACGATTGTAAGGAATCCTTTGAGTAGGCTCATTGAAACCAAAGGCAGTGCTGGAATGAGGAAGTATAGAATCATAGAACAGGAAGGACCTTCGAGAGGTAGAATTTATGTAAGCGAGGTTTTGCATGGGCCAGCCCCAGATTCAGCACAGCACTGGTGCAGAAGCTTTGATGCATGAGAGCTGGCAGGGGTGACTCTATTTTCCTGTATGTATTCTCAATGTGCATGTGCACGCTTATGAAATCTAATCGGTGCAGCTAAATGCCTGCAGGGTTCTTTGCTTTTTCATATGTACCTGCTTTCTCCCCTCTCTGGTATACATGGTTATTGGATCTGTTTGACTTTTACACTGAGATTTTTGTCACCGGTATTCCCAGATACAGTTCTACATCTGGAATACAGTTGGTTGGACAATCCATTTGTATTGCAGCTGAAGATGAATAGAGCACACTATATCTCTGCAGAGCAGGAGAGCTAGTGACCAGTGGGTGGGGTACAAGGTCCTGTAAATGCCCTTAGACTCAGTTCTGCAGCCCTCCTGTGCAGGTAAGATTTGCAGGGAGGATGAACCTCAGCACCTTATCAGAAGGGACCCTGTGACGGACCCGGCGGGGTCCGCACTAGAGGAGGGAGTGGGACTCCCCCTCCCTCGGGAGAAACCGCGCGCCGCAAGCGGCGCGCCGACCGGCATCGCAGCCCCGGAGTTGGGGCAGCGGCAAGCCCAACCCAGGGCACCCCGCCGGGAGCGGGGGAGGGCGCGGACCGCGCGGAAGCAGCCAGCCCGCCCGCCCCGGCTTGCGGCTCTGAACGGGGCACGGGCCCACGCTGGGGCAAGGGCGGGGGCGGCCGCAGCGCACGGGCGTGGCGGAACGCCCAGACGTCACTCCCCGGCGCCCATAAAGGTGGCGACCGGGCAGACGGAAAGGGGGGCAGGAGCGAGGAGGTGGCGACCCTGGCTTCCAGGGGCACCAAGGGCTCGGCCCCCGGGGCGACCAGGAAGGACGGAGTCAGCAGCTGGCGGCTCGCACTGGGACGCACCCGGAGACTTCGACGTGGTGAGTGCACCCCGATCAGCCCCACCGCCGGGGCGGACAAGCAGGGAGTGGAAGGAGCCCGAGGCAGGGCCCTTTTGGCGCCCGTGGGCGGAGGAGTTGAGGGCTGCCGCCCCATCCGCCGTGGAGGGCGACGTTTAGACGCCAACTCCACTTAGGGCCTCGGGCTGGGACCCGGTGGTGAGGGAGGGCCCGGGTCCCCCACTCCCTCACCCTCCCTGCAACCCTCAAGAACTGGAAGCTGGGTGAACTGCACCAGCCGCAGAACCTTCTAAGGGCCAGGACCCCAACCCCTTTTTCCCCGGACACGCCACGACCAAACCCCCCCTCTCCGGCCGGAGGAGGGGCCTGAACTCGGGGTTCGCCGAGCCCTCTCGGCCACCTCTGGTCGGGAGGTGATCGCACCCCCCCCGCAATAGACCCTGCCAACAAACCCTGGGGTTAGGGACAAGGAGAGTAACGAAGGCGGTGGGTCCGCGGAGCCCCGCCCTGGCTCTGTTCGAAGCCAAGAAGAGGGGGCGCGAGACGCTCGCACCCGTAAACCCGCCACAGACCCTTTGAACACCTCTGGGCAGGAGTCAAGGTTTGGGAAGGGAGAGGAAGACTCTGATGTGACATGCCCTCCTCCCATGAGTAGAAAGTCTAAAGCAGGGGTGAGCAATAATTTTGGATGGGGGAGCACTCTTCTGTGGTATTAATGGAGGAGGTGTGGGGTTTGGGATGGAAATGAGGTGCAGAAGGGAGCTCGGGGTAAGGGATTGGGATGCAGGAGTGGGTGTGAGATCTGGGAGGGAGTTTGGGTGAAGGGAGGGGTTGTGACCTGGGGCAGGGAATTGGAGGACAGAAGGGGTGCAGGGTGCAGGGGGAGTTTGGGTGTAGGAGAGGGTTCTGACCTGGATGAGGGGGTCAGGGTCTGGGAGGGAGTCATGACTTGGGGCAGGGGTGAAGGAGGCGATACAGAGGGTTTGCCCAGCTACTTGGGCTAGCGTGTGTCTTTGTGCCAGCTGTGTATTGGGTTGTTGTAGATCTAGATCTTGTTGTTATAGTAACTGAGTCAGGTCTCTAGGGATCAGCCTTGCCAGTTTGGGCTCATTCTAGTTAGTTTTGTGTTATGAAATAAATGGGCACTTACAACTGCTCAAACTCTCTGATTCCAGTGATTTCTTTCTAAACAGTGGAACTCCAAACAATATAACACCAATGCCCCTTGGGAGTGGGGGTCCTTGCACGCTGCCTGCACCCCAATCACAGCCCTGGAAGCTCCCATTGGCTGGAGACCTCCCTCCCCCAGAGGCACATGGCGCGAAGATGCACATGGCCCCTGCAGCTGGCCGCTTTGAGCAGCGTGCAATGGCGTGGCAAGCAGGGTGCCTGCCTGAGGGTCTCGCTGAGCCGTGGGATGGTAGCAGGCTAGGTCTGAAGGGTTGGTTGGATGGATCTGGCCCCCAGGCCGTAGTTTGCCCACCCCCAGTCTAAAATGTTCCTGTACTCAGGCTGCATCAGTCAGACACACCTGCAGAACCGCTTCACCAAGAGACGTGGGCCTTGAAGCGAGAGAGTGGCCACAGAACAGGGAGACTTCTAGGGACTGCGAGTGAGCTCCCATAACAAGAGGGAGCTCAGCCTGAGGCAGCTACTAAACCTCTTTTCCCCTCTGTCCTTGTTTGGGGCAGGTTGGCCTGATGCTTCGATCTGAGCAAAGGCCCTGGGAGCTGCTTCCAGACAGAAACCTGCAGTGGGACCCGGGAAGCACTGCCGGGGGCTGGGGAGAAAGAAACTGTGAAATGACCCAGGAGTGCTGGGCTGCCCCAATCGATATGCACCGCACGCCGCCGCATGGGGCATCAATGTGTGCCCAAGCAGCTGTGTATGGGCTAGGGCGGGGCCCTGGCTGGTCTCCCCCACCGGCTCAGCCCTGGGGCTCCAGCAGCCCCAGCCCTCCAACTACCCCATCCCCTGAGGGCTGCGCTCAGCCCCTGCTCACCAGGCCACGGTGAGTGGCACAAGCACAGGCCAGAGGACTCTGGAGGCACAAGGGGCAGCTGCACAGCCAGTGGCTGGGGAGAAGTGGTGGTTTCCCCTTCAAAATGCCACATCTCTCCTGCTGGTAGTGCCACCCCCTGATGCTCCTCCTGAGTCCCTAGCCTGTACTCGCACCGCTTGCTGCTGCCCGCGCCTTCACCCTGAGGCTGCAGGTGAGCCTCCCTCCCTGCCCTCATGCTTGCCGAGACTCCTGGACCGGATGCCATTGCAACAAACACTAGTTCCCATCCCTTCACAGCTTCTGCCCTGCAGCCTCTCTCCAGGCCCCCTCCCCCGGGGGTGAGGGTGGGGGTGCGGGGCTGCATAGGGCACCCACATTGATAGGGACAGCCCTGAAGGAGTGAGCTGAACTTCTGAGAACAGTAAGGCTACGTCTACATTGGCATGATCTTGTGCAAATACTCTTAAACGCAAGAGTTCTTGTGTTAATGTAGTTGCGCAAGAGAGCGTCTACACTGGCATGTGCTTTTGCACAAGAGCATCCATGCTAGTGTAGACGCTCTCTTGCACAAGAAAGCTCCGATGGCTATTTTAACCATAGGGCTTTCTTGCACAAGAAATTCATGTTGCCTGTCTACACTGGCCTCTTGCGCAAGAAGAGTTACGCAAGAGGGCTTATTCCTGAGCTGGAGCATCATAGTTCTTGCGCAAGAAGCACTGATTTCACACGTTAGAACGTCAGTGTTCTTGTGCAAGAACTCCCCACCAGTGTAGACAGGCAGCATGTTTTTGTGCAAAAGCGGCTGCTTTGGCGCAAGAGCGCGCCAATGTAGACACAGCCTAAGATTGCTCAGGAGTTGGGGATCCTGTAGGGACCCCAGGGCAAGAGAGTCAAAAATACCAGTGAGGAGCCCACACACGGGGTCAGCCAGCTACAAGGGAGCTGAATCGCTTAGGTTATAGAGTGGCCTGGGGGATAGGGTATTTACCTGGAGACTCTCGGGTGGTGGGTTCAGGTCCCATTGCTTTAGGAACAGCCAGTAAAGGCTGCCTTAGAGCTGGGGTTGGCAACCAGAGGCCTGGGGGATAGGGTATTTACCTGGAGACTCTCGGGTGGTGGGTTCAGGTCCCATTGCTGTGGGAACAGCCAGTAAAGGCTGCCTTAGAGCTGGAGTTGTCAACCATGTTAGGAAGGTTCCCTCTAATTTTCCCCACCCCTGCGTGGAATGAATTTTGTTATGTGCACCAAGATGGAAGTGACGTGCGACATGGAGGTGATGCACGACTCATCACCTTCACATTGGCGTGCACAACAGGTGGGTTCAGGTCCCATTGCTGTGGGAACAGCCAGTAAAGGCTGCCTTAGAGCTGGAGTTGTCAACCATGTTAGGAAGGTTCCCTCTAATTTTCCCCACCCCTGCGTGGAATGAATTTTGTTATGTGCACCAAGATGGAAGTGACGTGCGACATGGAGGTGATGCACGACTCATCACCTTCACATTGGCGTGCACAACAAATTCATGTGGTGGCAGTGGGGCCAACAGGTTCAGGCCATGGCAGGTGGGAGTGGAGGCTGGGCTAGTTTAGGGCTGGGGGTGGAGGCCTTCTCCTGGCTATGGCAAGTGCCTGGCAGGTTCCTTGAGCACCTGCATGGCCCTAAATAGGCAGCTGCTATGCAGCTTACAGGAAACTTAGGTCCCACGCCTCTGCTAAAAACGTTGATAAGGTTCATGATGTCCACAGGCCATTACAGACTGCTCCCGGTTTATGCTGTTTGGAGGGGTTGGGGGAAGGCAAGAGAGACCTAAGGAGTGTGTGTGATGGGGCGCACTCTCCCCACACTGGACAGGAGAGAGTTAACCCTGCATTGTGGACTGAGGAAACCACACCCCTTCCGCCTTACTGGGCATGCTCCAGGCGCACCGGTATAAAAGAGAGCAGCGCAACTCAGTTGTGGCAGACTGCTGGAGAGAGGATATGTTCTGCACAAATCTCTGCAGAAGCCCAGGGACAGAGACGCCACAGCCCAGGCAGATGGCTTGATGTTCCCAGAAACCTCCCAGGTTTGGAAGCAGGAAAGAAGAGGGACCCTGGTGGTAATGTGGATGCCCAAGACACAGCTACGGGGATGACAGCAAGGAAAACCAAGGGAAGATGATCCTGAACTGGTGAGTGAGCTGATGTCATGAGTCAGCGTGTTTTGGACAGGACCTTTCCCTGCTGACTCAGTGGCTTGAACTACAGTTGCTAAGAGGGGTCCAGTGGAGAGGGAGGGCCTGGACCCCCTGCTGTAGGGTTTAACCTCCCTCCCCATTCCATGACTCTGGCCACTGGGCTGTGCTGCCACGCAGCTAAAGCAAACATGCAGACACGGGTGGGGGGGGGGCATCCCAGAGGGCTGACAAGGCCACTGCCACCCTCCTTTTGGCTCTCTGGGCTTCTCACCACCCTGTCCTGCTAGGCCAGCTCCCTGGTCTCCCCCAACCAAAGCAGAGAGCTGAGAATCATGCCTCCACCTCCCCCTGGAAAAAATGCAGATACAGAGTCTCTTCAGGTCCAAGGAAAAAGAAATTTTGGGCCCAGCTTCCTGGGATACCACTCCCCAAATGGGATCAACTCCCCCAGGGTACGTCTAAACTACATGGCTCCGTCGACGGAGCCATGTAGATTTGTTGTTTTGGCAAAGGCAAATGAAGCTGCGATTTAAATGATCGTGGCTTCATTTAAATTTACATGATCTGATCAGCTGTTTGTCGGCTCAGCGCGCTAGTCTAGACGCTCCCTTGTCGACATCAAAGCCCTTTGTCGGCAGCCCTGGTAAGCCTCATCCCACGAGGAATAATTACTTAAATTATTATTTAAAACATTACTTAACGTCTAGACACAGCCCCAATGAATTAGTTAGGTAAGCCCCCTTTAGCAATGAAAGGAGGAATGCACACAGATTGCTCTCCCAGGCAATAATTATTTACACTGGGTTTGGTAGAAAATAAAAGTGATTTTTATTAAGTACAAGAAGTAGGATTTAAGTGGTAATTGGTGAGAACAGGCAGAGCAAAGTAGATTACAGACTCAAAATAACAGAAAATCCTTAGGTACTTCTACACGAAAACTTCAGTAGAAACTTATTACAAATTGCCTACAAACTCACCCTAAAACTCTTTCTTTCCCAATCAAACCTTCCAAACCAGAGAAGTCTCCTTTTCCCTGGGGTGTCTGGTTCCCTCCCTGGGGTGTGCCACACCCGCCAGCCAAAAGACCCACATTCCTACTTTCCTATTATTTTTTAAGATTCCCTTTTTGCTTGTGACGTCACCAGATCGGTGGGGGTGGAATGGGATTTCCCCAGACCAACCACTACTAAGACTAAAAGGATAAAAGCGATTGTTGAACAGTTAGTCATCAAGGCATTGAGGGTAACACCGCTGATGATATTCATTCACACATTTAAAAGCCACAAAGAACTTCACACTCCTTGGCTACGTCTAGACTGGCATGATTTTCGGCAAATGCTTTTAACGGAAAAGTTTTTCCGTTAAAAGCATTTGCAGAAAAGAGCGTCTAGATTGGCACGGATGCTTTTGCGCAAAAGCACTTTTTGTGGAAAAGCATCCATGCCAATCTAGATGCGATTTTGCGCAAAAAAGCCCCGATCGCCATTTTCGCCATCGGGCTTTTTTGCGCAAAAGTTTTCAGCTGTCTACATTGGCTTTTTCCCGAACGGGAGCAGCACAGTATTTACGCAAGAACACTGACAATCTTACATTAGATCATCAGTGTTCTTGCAGAAATTCAAGCGGCCAGTGTAGACTGCTGGCAAGTTTTTCCTTTGTGGAAAAACTTGCCAGTCTAGACGCAGCCATCATATGTTTAATTTTACACACAAGAATGATACACACACCAAAATAAGAGAAACAAATCCAGTGGATTATGACAGGAAGATTGAGAGGTTACGTGAAGCAATTTGTCCAAAGCATTTTTGAGTTATGTCTATTCGTCTCCGTAAGCCCATTTCATACGGAGGCGCGCACGTTCCTCTAGTCCTAATGGAGCAGGGTGCCCTCACCCCGCACTGGACGGGGTCCTCCCCAACCGTGTGGCTCTGAGGACTGGAGGGGGGGGGCGGGGTTGCTGTGCCCCGGGCAGCACGCAGGGCTGGTGGCTCACAGAGTTACTACCCCTTTTGCCCAAGGCGAAGCCCCACCCCTTCCAGAAGCACGGAACTGCCCGCATGAACCTTGGGCGTGTGGCGGCTGTCTGTTCCCCTGCATAAAGGAAAAGACCATAAGGAAATATTTGACTTCCTTTCTACGATACCAGAGCAGAAACGAAACTAAAACACTCCGCTCAGCCCTCTGCCCCGCTGCTCCCCTCCCTTACTCTGCTTGCAATGCTTTTCCTTCTCTCTCTGCTTTTTCCTTCTCCATCCCTTGCAGTTCAACCCTCTGTTCTCCCTTCTCCTGGCTTAGCTATGCAGCTGGAACACTGACCCAACAAGACACACACTCCTACATGGGAGGAGGCAGGGAAGTGAGTGACTGGTGTATACGCAGTGTGCTCAAGGCAGAAGACAAGGAGGCTGTTCGGGGGGGCCCTCGGTGGGACGGCTGTTGGGTGAGTTATTCCAGTCCTTTTCTATGAGAAAATATTTACGGTGTGGGATGAGTTTTGTGTCTTCTAATATGTCTGTGGTGCCTTACTGAAGGAGAGAGGAGTTACAGGGTGGTTGAAAGCATGGCTTTGGGTGAGTCTGTCTGTGTTCCAAAGACAAGGAGGGCTGGATGAGACGTACACAGAGGACTGATTAAATTCAGGAAGATTGTTATGTCTTTTCCCCAAAACAACTAGTTGGCCCACTGTGACGGTATGTCCAGGAGATGCACACTGACTAGGTCAGCAATTGTGCTCCCTCATCCTCCTGCAGCGACATCCGAAAGTGGAGAGGCAAGGCTTATACCATCCTACTCACTAAAGCTTTGTCAGCATGCAAAGCATTAAAAGAAGCTAGCACCTCAGAGCTGGTAGCCAGCTACCTGGGACAGGGCTTCATGTTGTGTTTGGGGCCTGATCCCCTATATCCATTTGTCATTACTGCTGTCATCATGTGGGTTAGCCAGCAGACTGGGGACTAAAGGGTTAACTATACCTAACTCAGCTAGAGTTGGCCAGTAGGAATGTAGGTAGGAATCTTAAACTAGGACAAAAGAATTTTTGGGTTTCCCTTTGTTCTGAGAGTTCTCTCCAGCTACTGAGGGAGACAGATATGTCTCTCTCCAAGAAACAATTCTTCACTTTTTGTAAGTAGGGTAAAGTTTAGATAAATCTGTTAGATTTTGTTATTTTATGGCTTGGGAAATGGGATCTGATGTTTTGGCTTTCTTTTGTAACTAAGTTCTCGTCCCATGGCAGAGTTTCTCCATGAGTATATTATTTTGTAACTTTTCCATCTAGTTATTAGGCTTGCAACAGGAATATTGTGGTGATGATAAAAGTTTTCTCTTTTCCTTTTATTAACCTGATATTGGCTAATAGTGGTGTCCTGCTTTAGGGGTGATATTTTCCCAAATGGTCTCTCCCCTGGTTTCTTTATTAATTTGGGTAGTGGCAGTGGAGATTCTGTCCTCAAAATCTAGGGTTTTAAGATTGAAGGGAAGTTTTATACCACAGCCTGGTAGATAAGGTTTTGGGGTACACTTGCTAGCCCCCACTTCTGCATTTATCATGCCAGAGTGGAGAAGGAGCCATGACAACCTAGAATATGCATGGTGTGGTGACTGAACCATAGAAGTGCTTTCATTGAATGTAAAGGAAGCAGCCAGCTCTTGCTGTCAGTGTTATATGCAGTCAGCACACACTTCACTTCATGTGCCCTTGCTTTACATGCATGCCACTTTAGTAATATTGATAGGAAAAACTACATAAACGGAAACAAGTAGAATCTAGAAACCTTGTGTTCGGATAATGGTAACCAAAATATCTCGCTGGCCACAGACATAGAACCCTGATAGGCCCCATGTGGCCCTTGGGCCGCAGGTTGCCCTCCACTGATATAGTGGTTCAAACTGGCTGCATCTAAATTGGCATGATTTTCCAGAAATGCTTTTAACGGAAAACTTTTCCATTAAAAACATTTTCGGAACAGAGCGTCTAGATTGGCATGGACGCTTTTCTGCAGAAGCACTTTTTGCAGAAAAGCATCCGTGCCAATCTAGACGCACTTTTCTGCAAAAAAGCCCTGATCGCCATTTTCACGATTGGGGCTTTTTTGCCAAAAAGAAATCTGAGCTGTCTACACTGGCCCTTTTGCGCAAAAGCTTTGTGCAAAAGGGACTTTTGCCTGAACGGGAGCAGAATAGTATTTCCGCAAGAAGTACTGATTTCAGACAGTAGGAAGTAAGTGCTTTTGCGGAAATTCAAGCGGCCAGTGTAAACAGCTGGCAAGTTTTTCCAGAAAAGCGGCTGATTTTCCAGAAAAACTGGCCAAATGAACAAATATGAAAAGGACAAATTTGTCCTTTTCATATTTGTTCATCATTTTTTTTCATCATTTTCATTCATTTTTTTTAATTGTATCCTTTGGTATATATGGTTGTGACTACTTTCTTCCACTATTTGATCTGAGGAAGTGGGTCTGGCCCACGAAAGCTCATCATCTAATATACCATCTTGTTAGTCTTTAAAGTGCTACATTGTTCTGCATTTTGCTTCAACTACCCCAGACTAACACGGCTACATTTCTATCACTATGGTAGGACCAAGCACCATCCAGACCATCCCTAACAGGTGTTTGTCTAATTTGCTCTTAACAAACCTCCAATGACAGAGATTCCACAACCTTCCTAGACAATTTATTCCAGTACTTAACCACCCTGACAGTTTTTCCTAATGATGTTTTTCCTAATGTCCAGCCTATAGGCCACTTGATGCAATTTAAGCCCATTGCTTCTGCTCCCTCATCCTCCTGCAGCGACATCCGAAAGTGGAGAGGCAAGGCTTATACCATCCTACTCACTAAAGCTTTGTCAGCATGCAAAGCATTAAAAGAAGCTAGCACCTCAGAGCTGGTAGCCAGCTACCTGGGACAGGGCTTCATGTTGTGTTTGGGGCCTGATCCCCTATATCCATTTGTCATTACTGCTGTCATCATGTGGGTTAGCCAGCAGACTGGGGACTAAAGGGTTAACTACACCTAACTCAGCTAGAGTTGGCCAGTAGGAATGTAGGTAGGAATCTTAAACTAGGACAAAAGAATTTTTGGGTTTCCCTTTGTTCTGAGAGTTCTCTCCAGCTACTGAGGGAGACAGATATGTCTCTCTCCAAGAAACAATTCTTCACTTTCTGTAAGTTTAGATAAATCTGTTAGGTTTTGTTATTTTATGGCTTGGGAAATGGGATCTGATGTTTTGGCTTTCTTTTGTAACTAAGTTCTCGTCCCATGGCAGAGTTTCTCCATGAGTATATTATTTTGTAACTTTTCCATCTAGTTATTAGGCTTGCAACAGGAATATTGTGGTGATGATAAAAGTTTTCTCTTTTCGTTTTATTAACCTGGTATTGGTTAATTTTTGTGTCCTGGTTTGTACTTTAGGGGTGAGATTTCCTAAGTAGTCTCTCCCTGGTTTCTTTAGCATATTTGGGTGGTGGCAGCGGAGATTTTATTCCCAAAATCTAGGTTAAGATTTTGGGGGGAAGCTTTATACCAGAGCCTGGTAGATGAGGTTTTGGGGTACTTTTGCTGGCCCCCACTTCTGCATTTATTGTGCCAGACTGGGGCCATGAGAACTGCTCATCCCTGAGGTGTTGACAGGGCTCTCCATAGTATGATGGTTGTACTGTCACTCTCCTTTCTCCCGGGGTTCATGGACAATTTTTTTCCTCATCACTTGTCAGTGCAGAGTGCTTTATTGTTGCTGATTGTTGAAGGAGTTCCTCTTACAGTCCCTTCTATTTTGGACACTGCAGAGGCAGGTGTCTGTTTTAGACTATCTTCTATCACCCTGGCTGTGCTGTTACTCATCTCTGAGTTTGTACTGTGCTTTAGATCAGTGGTCCCCAACACGGTGCCCGCGGGCGCCATGGCGGGGGGGCATTTCAATGCGCCCACCAGGTGCTCGGGGCTGGCCTGGCCCCGGGCACATGGCGCATGGGCGCTTGCGGGGGGAGCGCCGGGCGCGCGGCACTCGGCGGGAGGGCGGGAGGAGCAGGAGCGCCGGCCTC